AAAATATCGAAAAATATACAGCGCGCGAATTTTAAATGAGAATTTCCGAAAACTTTTCAGTCTTAATGTACATTTGAATTTATATTATTGCTACTCGTAAAAGCAATAAAACTTAATTCTAATCACATCATCCACCATTAAACGGATGAAAAGAAAAACTTTAAAGAATTTTTACATCAAATTTTTGATTGTTTCTAAAGCAATCACATTGAATATAATTTATTGATTTAATGATAATTTCCAAGCTATTCACTAAACACACCAAAATATTCTCAGACATTAAATGAAATACTTTTACTAAATGATGCCAATAAAAAATATTTTAAGGCCCACAAAGCGCCTCAGTAATAATCGTTTAAGTACTTCGCCACTATTAAACAGCGACCATTTCCAGTTAATGTAAACAATGAACGAAATAAAAATGTCACATTAAAATATCAATTTGACATTAGCATTTAAACTATAAAAGCAGGCACTGGAGCGTTAAAATCGTGGAAAAAGCCAAATAAAAATATCATAAAAAGTACAAATATCTACAAAAAATTTGAATGAAATGAGATGGCGATGAAATGTGAAAATTAAGTTGCGAGCTATTGATAGACGCATATAAACGTTTTACTGCTGTCACTTTGACATTTGAATAATTGTTCTTTGCAGGATGCTGGAGAAGCGAGCGCAATCATTGACGAACCAAAGACCAAAGCCGTAAAGACAACCATTTAAAATGCAATCAAAGATACTGCCGGCAATATTAAAAAGCTACGTGTCTACTTGAGTAAATTTGTTGAAGAACAAATAAAGTCAGTATAAAAAATTAATAAGAAAAAAGCAATTATGCTAAGAACTGTTTAGACTACTCAACGCTTACATATGTAGGTAAGGAATTAATTTTAAAATTTGTGATGCTAATGTGAATCTATTAAATAAAATACAAACATTTTAAGGTTTCTATGAAAGAGAACATTAACATGTCAATAGTACGAATAAAAAACCTCCATAGAACAGCTGTAAATTTATTTATATAAAATAATGAATATATATATTTTATACTACTGTTCTACCCTACAACAGAATTTTCGGTAAGTTCTTATTTTAATCTTTCAATACACGTGCTTACATTAGAGCGGCACATTCAACATGCTTTTAAAATCATAACAATCATTTCCATTATGATTTCATATAGAATTTGTTATTACCAACGCACACGAGTTCCATGTCCATGCAGTCCATAACACACGTTTCCTAATAGGATTGATGTAGCAACAGCAGTCATCAATACCCGTATATGTGCGAGGACATGAGTCGGCAGCCCAAAAAGAAAATAACTTTTATAAAATTTAATGCCAATGAATTGCAGAAACCGTGAAGCGTTACGATTTTGATACGATTTTACTGTTCTTTACATTTGTGTTGAAAGCAAAAACGTATGACTTTTTAGCACTTCATAAACAGCACAATGTCCATATATACGTACATATGTATAGATTTCCCCCACCGCATGTATGGATGCCAAACTTATTCGCACTCGCATACTATACGCAACGTATTGCCTAATCCTTTGCAAGTCCTTTGCAAGTCCTTTGTCATGTACTTTTCCTACCCAAAAACGAATTGAAAGTGAAAAATCTTAAGCCGATCTCTTTACTCATTTTTTGATGCGTTTTGACATTTTTATTAGTTTATTGTTATGGTTTGCTTGGAGATTAAGACTATCACACCTTTGCGCATAAAATGTCATACAAAAAATCCTTTTTGTTAACAATTGCTATGTTAGCAGCGCATATACTACTCCTTATAATCGCTATTGTGGACAAGAAAGAAAAGCATCCGGAACGACCTTTTAAATTGGATTAGAACTTTTGACTTTTTTAGTCGTTATCCTTACAAACATTTCAATGTCCTTTTTGCAGAAATTACTGAAGATTATATGTTTTTTTTTACATCTTTTTTGCTTCTGCTCAGATAACTATGCTTTTTGCTTTTATCACATTTTCTATGAATGAAGTGTGATTTTCGTAAAATTGGATGAATTCTTGCATTTATTTTTTATTTTTGTTTGGTACAAAGTGTGAGGCGTAAAATCCTATCAAAAGGTGCGCAATAAGTAAGTTGATTGTCCTTTTTTTTGTAACGCCCAGTCGTAACGTATGTTATGAATTTTAAGAATTTATTTTATGAAGCATGAAGTATATGTATTCCATTTGTCAGGACAATCAAATTGTTGAACTGAGGTATTTCATTTCACAAATGTTTTTTAGCCACAAATCATTGAAATCTTCTTACGTCATATACAATTCACAGCCGATTGGATAAAATCTTAAACCATATTCTTTAATGCTATAGTTATTGTTTTGATATTACACAATTTATTTGTAAATGTATTAAATATATATATTAAAAGGTTTTTAGGTTCAAATCATTGAAATCTTTTTATTTATAAACATTTATTAATATAGTAAAGAGATTTACTCAAACTGTTTTTGGTCGTAAATCATTAAAATCTTTTACCATCACTAGTGATTGCAGAAAATTTTTATTAATTCATATTTACGATCAAAGAAGAAATATCTCTAATTATAAAGAACTATGCTCATCGCATATATATGCACCCACACGTATTGCTTACACACCTGGTGACCCCTTCCAACATTTTTACAAGGCTGAGAAGCAAAATTTCGAGAGACGTCTTAGACATGTATAAGTGTAGATTACACTTTTTTGCTTTAATTATATATGCATATATCACTGGGCATAGTCCATACACGCCTTTTTTTTTAGCTCGCAGTAAATACTTTTAGATTCAACAAAAACAAAAAAAAAAAAAAATCAACGTAGCTATTACTATTACTGTCTACTAACAGAGAAATTAGTCGCTATAAAATTTTCTATTGTATTTGTATGTACAATAGAATATGGTTAACTTTTGCAGTAAGTGGATTGCATACATTAAAAAAATCAAACCTTTCCATCACATAGATACTTAACCTTAAATTTGCATTTCCACCTTTGCAATATGAAAAAAAAAACACAACACTTTGTTAAAAAAACCAGTTCTCCAATAATTTCACATAGATATTATTATCTTATTGAAAGGTTAGAAAAAAAAATCAAATCTATGCAACCCGAAACTATTAAAAATGGTAGCTCAAACTTTTACTATTCTATTAGAGATTGCCTAAAGTGTCGTAACATTATAAATAAATTAATATATTACCATTGGTTAGCTTTCTCTTTTTAAGAGCTACTATTACTGGATAATACTATTACTCAGTATTTTTTTTGCCATATTTCGATGAAAGAAGTGGAAATTGACATTTAATTATAAAGCAAACGAGATTTTTTACACATGATGCAAAAAAGTTCTTTTTTGAAAAACAATTTATTTCATTTCAAACAACAGCTAACTATATATAACGATTTTCCCCGTCTAAAGCATTTCGAATATGAGGCAGGTTATTTGGAGAATAGTTTTTGAATGGATTCTATCATCACAAAACAAATTTTGCTTTAAAGGCAAATGCATTTTTCTGAAAACGTCAAAATGGCACTATAACAAATCAGGTGAATACGAAGGGTAACATTACCAATGAATAAAATTGCCAATAGATGGCCTTATCATAGACAACCATTTCTTGAAATGTCGGTTTGCAATAAATATTGTAATTAATCTTTGATAATAAACTCACAGTTTATTATAGAATAGATAGAATAAATGATAAACCAATGTGTTGCTCAACATTTCTGTTCTCACAACCGTTTTAAAACTGCTTTTACCACTCATGATATATGATATGATGTATGCAATCATTATCATAAGTCTGTTATTTTTTATCAATTGAATCGTTTCGGTAAAGATTTTACTAAATTAAAGAGTAAAGTTACTATGATTACAGCTTCTTGTTGGAATGTAAGTTTCGTACCGATAATACAATCGTTTTGCCACTACAGATTAAACTACTCATTATCCAAATATCTTGAAATTTTGAAAGCATATCACTGAGAGGTAGATTTTTATAAATGTATATTATATTAAGCAGGTGAGTAGAGTGGCAGTGTGCCATTGCTTGTCGCGCATAGGCCTATTCTCCCGTTATAAATTAATCCATTGAAACTATTAAATGCCATTTAAGGAATTCACGACCCTTCCCGGCAAATCCAACCACTGAAACTTGTAAAGATCGAAATAGGCTTTAATTCCATAATAATAATTTCCTTTCGATTATCCAGAACGCTTCTCCTTACATTATTGTGTGAAATTCTGCATAAAGCTGGACAATTACAGAGAAATTGCTAAATAATTTTCTATTCCTCCTTGCCCTTAAGACGACAACATTCTACCTATTAAGTCCACTTAGATGTTTTGTCTCTTAACAGTCCCTTTCTGACCACATTATACGTGATTTTTTTCATGCAAAGATATTTTTACACTTAAGATTTACGAATGTTTTAAATATATTTTTAATTTTTAACTTGTATATATTATATTCTGTATTAATTATAAGTAAAATTTTCATGTATTATCTAAATAGTTGCAGTAGCAAATGTCTTCAATAAACATACAACAGAATTTGTTTACTACAACTAATGTATATCATGTTTATCTTACTTATAAAGCCAATTAAATTTAACCTATCAAACATTGTTCATCGCCATCTTACAAATTTAATGAAAATAACAACAGAAGTATTTAAAATACCAGTAAATTTGTGTTTCTTAATCTATGTACATGGAAATTTTCCGAACAATCAAAAAAGT